CCTGGCTCAGGGCCCAGCGCTTAGTAGGTGCCTTCTAGAAAGAACTAAACCCATTCAAGAAAACGCCCAAAACCGTTTTGCTCTGACCAGGTGTCTCGGCACAGGTGTGTGTCCAGCAGAAGACATTTCAAAACACATTTGATTTTAAACTTCACTTCCTTCTTCCTTAGCACCTCTCTTTTTGCGGGTTCTGCTGTGCTAATAACATCAGGAGTAACCATCTTTTTCAATTTACAGAATGTTTCTCCAATTACTATCTCTGCTGAGCCTCCAAACAGCCTTCAGGGCAGTGACTCTCCACTGTCCAGAGGCAATTGGAAGCGCGGGCTTGGCCAGCACCGGCTGACAGCCCAGCAGGCAAGTGCCCCGCAGTTCCTGCCCGCCGTCCTCCTGCCCGCCCTGCACGCGGACAGTGAGGTCCTCCTTTCCCAGACGGGCTCACAGAGGGGAGGTCACCTGCCCAACATCCACCAGACAGGCCTGGACGCTGGATTTCACACTCCCTTGTAGAGGCTCCTGATCCCATTGGGGCAACATCAGCTAAAACCAGGTTGTCCAACCTGAGCCGGAGACCCTCTACCCCCAGCAGAGGAGCCCAAGGTTTTGACCAGAGGCACCTCCACTCAATTCCAGGACCACTGTGCCAGGACAGGAGGGGGGTGGGCTGCAGGTTCAGTGACCATTCAAATGGCCGCCCCCCCATCTCCCTCACCCCAGGGTTAAGCCCACGGGCCTGAAGTCTTTTTCCTTTAGCCGCCACTTTTCCTTTAACCCCACTGCCAAACTGATCCCAAAGCCCAGGATTTCTGCCCTCCAGTTTCTGGCAGCTGAGTGAAGGAGTGGCCGTTCTAGCCCGAGCTTGGAGTTGACCTCTCTTTCTTCTCCTCCCCTACCTCATCTGCCTGTTCCTTCTCATTCTGGTCACTCAGTTATTTGAGTCTCCTTTCACCATAGCTGCTGGGCACTGGAGGTCTTCGGGTGAATGATGACCGTTCTCTGACCAGGAGGAACTCATGCTCCCATTAGGGAGATGCACACATGTCCACATCTACGCAGTGTGGCCAACTGCAATCTGTTGTGGTTTGTGTGTGTGTGTGTGGGGGGGGGGCGTCCCAGGGGCTGCCAGGGGACACCTGGCCCAGTCTGGGAGCTCAGGGAGGCTTCAGGCTTCCTGGTGGAGGTGCTACCTGCCCAGGCTGGATTTTAGAATTAGTAGGAGTCTGTCACAGAAACAAGCTTTTAGACTGAGGATTTCCCAACAGCCTAAGCTCGATGGAGTGAGGATTTTTATTTGGTTTCTTACCCAGTACCTGGAACAATGCTTGGTATAGTAGATGCTCAATAGACATGTACTAAAAGAAAGAAGAAAAAAAGGAAGAGAGGTAGGGATAGAGAAAGGGAGGAGGAAACAGTGAGTCTAGGCTGGATGAGTCTAGGCTGGATACAATGACCTGGTACATTCTGGGGACCAAAAGTACAGTAGTTCCTGGTGGCCTGTGGTTTAAGTGGGTGGGGCTGGGAGAGGGGCCTTATCTCATCCCATTGTCGGTGGTGTCCCTTTCTTATCTCCCCCCTGGGCCCAGAGCTACCTTGAGAATGAGACCATTTTTCCTCTCGTGGTTCCCCAGTTCCCAGTACGTACACTGAATGTTGATGTACACACAGGTATCGAACGCGTGCTGGGTGGTGGAGACACACAGATGACTCAGAGTTAGATCCTCTCCCTGCCAGGTCTGGCGGAGGAGACAGACAGTAAACAACACGGGCTACAACAATAGGCAGAATGAACACGGAGAGCCACTATGGAGGTTCAAGCAAAATGAGACCAAGCAAAGGGTTGGATGAGTTTTGCTCCAGGAGTGAAAAGCAAAGAGGTTTTAGAGGAGAAGATGGCATTGAACAGGATGTTAGCCCTAAGGAATGGTCAAAGTGGGATCTTGGGGAGGGAGGCATTCCAGGTAGAGACACCAGGCCCAAAGATGTGGTCTGGGGAAAGTACAGCTGGGGGATTCAGTGGGGAAAGGTAGGCTGGGGTTTGGAATGCTGTTCTTGGGCGTTGGGACTTGCTTCTGATCTGACTGCGTCTTGGATCACTGGGTGTATATCTGGTTGGGGCTGCTGAGTGGTCCTGCTTCCCAGGAGCCTGTCAACTCCCTTCTCTCCAGCAGGCTGGGGGCTCCCTGCTCTCTCTGTCTGGGTCCTCTCACTGTCTCTTTTAGCTTCACCAAGAACCCACTGACACGGGGCCTCATTCTGTGTCAAGCCCTAGCAAAGGGCAGACCACAAGGACAGAGTGCTGTCTAGCACAGGTTCCCTGAATGCCACTCCTCTTCTCTTACCACATATGCTCCCAAAGAAGGTGCTAGTACTTTTCTTGGTGGGGGGTGGGGAAAGAAAACTATAGAAGGGAAATCGGCATCATAGAACATCAGATTCTCAAGAGATATTAAAGATTTTCTAACCCTCCTTTCCCACTTGACAGAGGAGGAAAACGATGCCCCAACAGATAGGTTTGTGCTGCAGGCAGGGCATGGCCAACTTGGTAGACACTGCCATAGTAGATAGAGCCAGAGAAGGGCAGTGTTTTCCTTGAGCCAGGACCTGACTGATACTCATGATACTCATAATCTTTGGGCCTTGCAGACCCAAGATGAGTCAGGCTTCTTGTGAGTCAGTCTGTTGACAAGCCATCCTTGACCATTCCTAGCCCATCAAAAATAGAAGTCCAGGGGAAGGGGATGAACAGGCCAATTTAATTAGTGTGGGCTCTAAGGTACCTTGTTAGCCCTGTTAAATTAAACCGCCTAGGGGAAAAAAATAACTGTAATTATTTCCTTCTCTCCTCTATGTTGTATTTCAACTCCCTCCCAACCTCCATGCTTCTCTCATTCACAAAACCACCTTTAAACTAGGGGCTAGTGTACAGACAACCATAGACTAGGGTTCAGTATTTCCCTTTTTCTGTCTCCTTCCCCTGCGATCTCTAGGTCCCAGCAGAGAACACAGTGCGTCCAGAGGCATCCATAGGGTCTGGCTGTATTCTAATTTAGGGAGGCTTGTTACACTGAGTAGAACATTATTCCAAAAATGCACCATCTCCTTCCTGAACCAATGCAGATCTGTTTGCTGCGGGGTATTTCTTTTAAAAGCCCCTTTTCTCTTTACAACAGATCAAAATAAGCAAACTTTAATGGTAGGGAATTCTTTATTTTGTTGAAATTTAGTTCTGAGTTTTCCTACTTGAAACGTGTTTTCCCCAGGACACTGACCTATCCTTTAATTGTTTGGTGCTGTTTGGTGCGAGGCATGTTAGGGGGAGGGGCGTTACTTGTTTATTGGAACAGCGCAGTTAAAAAAAAAAAAATCAACCTAGGCTAACAGTTTCAAGGCTCCCCTAAAGATGTATCCAAACAGGCAGCCAATCAGCGCTTACACAGCTTTTTCTGCTTGACTCTTTTAAAGAGACAGTGCCGACAGTGTTTTATCACATTTAAAGAGAACCGCGCTCTAAAAGCAGTCTGAAAATGGGGGAGTCTTCCCCTATTTCGCTGCTTTCTGGTCTAATAAGGGAGTCATAGTGTGTACTTGGGGTTCTCAGCGTGGGCAGAAAGGAGTCAGCAGCAAATAGCTGGGTCACTCTGCCAGCCCCCCCCATTTCCCATTGTACACCTGGGTCACTGACAATGGAAGCTTCCCCTCCCCCCAAGCCTGACTCTCACCCCGCTCCACTCCCCAATTTAGCTCCATTTATTTGAAGTTTGCTGATTTCTGTGGCGCGCATTCCACGTTGCGGGGCACCCAGGTGACGCCCCCGCACCCCGGAACAGCACAGTCTCCTGTGGAGAAGCCAAGGGGCTAACTTGTCAGGGCTGGCCGACCTTAGAAATTTGGGAGCAATCACTCTCCCTTCTCTTAACACAAGCCCCCCGTCCCCTCCCCCAGGTTCCCCAAAGCACGCCAAGGACCTTTTTCGCGCGGCTCCACTTTGGGGCTTTCCAAAGTATTTTAATGATGTAGTAAAGGAGCAGCCGCGCGCCTCGGCGCCGGCTCGAGCCGCCCAGCTCGCAGCGTGGAGCCCCGGGCCCGGCGCTCGGAAGGCGGACTGGGCAAGAGGGAGGGCCGGGGGCGGGGCGGCTGGGGAGCGCACTGGAGTCTGGGGAGGGGGTCGGGGTCGGAGCCCAGGGGGGAGGACAGACGAGGGGGAGGGGGAGATAAGGGCTGGGCCGTAGCAGGCCGGGCGGTGGAAAGGCGGGGGGTAAGGAGGTGAGGGGCAGATAAGGGAGAGGGACGTGGCGGGAGGGAGCGGGCTGCGCTCCGCTTAGGGGTCCGCGCCCCCTCCCCTCAGACGCTGCCGCAGCGCCCCACGCCCCCCAGTGGTCCCCGCCGCGGAGAGCGCCCGGCAAATCCCCTCGTCGCCGGGGCCGGGAGACCAGAGCTCCCCCAGCCCGATTCGAGTCCCCTCCCCACATCTACAGAAAAGAGAGGCGCGCGCCCCCGAGCACCCCCGGCTCGGCCGCAGGAGCAGGGGCAGCGGCTCGGTGGAGGCGGCCGCCGCGGGGACTGCCGCGGCCGGGCGCTGACAGGGCGTCCCTCCCGGCCGCCGGGCCCGCCCCCGCGCGCCGATTGGCCGAAGCGGCCATCAATCGCGGGACGTTGACGCCCGCCTCGCTTCCTCGCCCGGGTAGCCACGTTCGGTTGAGCTCCAAGTAGACCAGCGGCAGCGGCGGCGGCAGCGGTGCCGGAGGCGCAGAGGGCGGCGCAGGCGGAGCCGGGCGGGCGGGCGCGCGAGCGAGCCAGCGGGCGGCCGGGCCGGCGGGCGAGCGGCGGCGGCGGCGGCAGCGGCACCCCAGGCCGAGCCGGCGCGGGAGGAGTTCCAGGGCGATGGGGCCGCGGCCGGGGCTGACGCTTTGACAGCTGGAAAGAGCGCGGAGCCAGCGCCTGGGGGGGGAGGGAGGGGAGCGCGGCGAGGAGAGCGCGAGCGGGCGAGCGAGCGAGGCCGGGGAGGGGGCCGGGAGCGAGGGGGCAGCTCGGGAGCAGCCGGAGCGGTAGCGGCGGCGGCGGCGGCGGCGGCGAGGCTCGGCGCCCTCTTCTCTGCAAACCATGTTTGCCAAAGGCAAAGGCTCGGCGGTGCCCTCGGACGGGCAGGCTCGGGAAAAGTAAGCCCTATTTTCCAAGTGGCGGCCGCGCCGTCGCCGGGCTGCGGGAGGCCGGTGGGAGGCAGGTGGGCGGGCGGGGGCTGCTGCGCTCCGGGCCCGGCGCCGCCTGCCTGGCCCCTTCCCCGAGGCCGCGGCGGGCGGCGTGGGAGAGCCCATTGTTGGGAGGCGGCGGAGGCCGGGGCGTCGGGGGGCGCCGCCGGGGGAGGGGGCACCTGGTGGCCGCGGGGCGTGCCGGGCGCGGGGGCCCGCGGAGAGGGGTGGGCGAGGTCCGGAGCGAGAGCTTGGGCGCCCGCCGCGGGGGCTGCACTTTGCCCCGCGGGCGCGGGCAGGGGGCGCGTGGTTCCCGCAGCCCCGAAGGCTCCTTTTGTCCGCCCGCGGCGTGAGGAGTGCGTGCCGGGGGCTTTGTTCGGCCGGGAGCGCTCTCCCTTGCCTGCCCTCGGCCTCGCCGCCCGCCCCGCGCCCTCCGGGGCGCCGCGCTGGGCAGGGACGGCGGCGCCGGTTTGGCCCTGGGCTTGGGGGACAGTTGCTTGGGTTGGGGGGGAGCTAGTGAGGGTGGCGCTTTGCTGCCCTCTCCAGAGCGCGCTGAGCACCCCGGAGTCCAGGACTGAGTCTCCCCGGATCCTCAGAGCTGGAGAGAGGGTGGCAACGAGTGGGTCGGGAAAAGGTGGGAGGCTCTGGGGTCGGGAGGCTTGCGAGTTTGAGAGACCTAGGTGGGTTTGGCCCCGATGCCAGTTGGAAGTTCAAGTTTGGGGGCTGCTCTCTAGCCCTCGCGGCTCGAGGCAACGCGTCCCCTGGTACCCACCCCCTGAATGCTTCCACCCGCGGCCCCGAGGCAGGGCCAAGCTAACTGCTCACCTCTGCTTGGGGCCACAATGGGACAGCGCAGACAGGGTTGGAAGCCGGCTGGCAAGGTCCAGAAGCGAGCGCCCCGTGTGATCTAACGCCTTCCCTCTCTTTCTGTGCCTCCTGCCCACTTTCCAGGTTAGCTTTATACGTCTACGAATATTTACTGCACGTAGGAGCACAGAAATCTGCACAGACCTTCTTGTCGGAGGTGAGTGGAATTCCCCCCCATCATCCAATTTCTTGACACCCCTTCTTCCCCACTATTCTTAGAGCCTTTGTTTTCAGGAGCAACCACTGTGGCCACCATTTTGAATTTTTATCACCTTTTGGCATTTATTGTTAGTTGGTCTTCTCAGCCTTTTGGCTCTGGGAAGCCCCCAGCCCACCTTTCCTCTCTGCTCCTCTAAGCTGTCTCTGCTCTCTGCTTTCCAGATTCGATGGGAAAAAAACATCACGTTGGGAGAACCGCCTGGGTTTTTGCACTCGTGGTGGTGGTAAGTTTGTGTGATAGTTTTGTGTGTGTGTTTGTTTTGTTCTGAGATCTGGGCCTGGGTGAACAAAGACGGGAGGCCTGGAGCGGACCCCCATGCCTTAGCTCTTGGGCTTGGCATGGAACAGGGCACCTCTGGGCACTCAGACCCGGGCTGGGGAAGGAGGGAAAGGACAAGAGAGGTTGCTGCTTGAAGTTTTCGCCTTCTCTTTTCCCTCCTATTGAGAACCTACTAAATTGTGCCTAGTGTTTGTACAGAAACTCCTTTACTTTTCTCTCTCTCTCTGGAGCACCAGGCGGGGGGGGGGGGGGGGGGGGGGGCTTTGAAAAAAAAATAAAGGTTTTTTGTTTTTTTTTTTTTTTTTTTTATTTAGGGGTGCGGGGGGGGGGGGAGGGTGGAGAGGGTACCAGGTCTGTTTTACAACTGGCCTGTCCCTTTTTCTTCTGTGAGCTCAGAACCTTGAGAGAGCAACTCTACTGGGGCAGGCACCCTGAGAAAAAGCAAGAAGGGGCGCCACTTCCTTTAAAGATACTGATTCAGACGGACTGGACCTTCCTCTCCTCTGTGGGTCCTCCCCCCAACCCCCAGCATCCCTAAAACCACAAAGTTTCATTTTACCAAGAACCTTAACTGGTTGGCGTTGACCTCACAGAGTGCTTGTAGTTGTAGGTAGTGACTCTCCCTTACTTGTGACCCTTTCCCTCCTTTATTTGGGTCCTGCTGGGGTGGGAGATCTGTAGGTCTGGTCTCCTTGTAGGTTTGCGTAAGAACGGAGGCTTAGGGTCAGCAGGAGTGAGTCACTGTGAGTGTAAGACCTGGATGTTTTGCGGGACCGATTGGTCGAGTCTTTGACATCCTTTTGAAAAGGACAAGAAAGCAGAGTGGCTTTTGATATTTTGGTGGAGTTCAGAAGGATCGGAGTGCCCTGTCTTGGGATCTTAGCGCGCGTTTACCTGACCACCAGTTCAGGTTACTGTTCTGAGTCTCTTTGAAATGCAGGGGGATGAAGTGTCTGTTCTAACTTGCACAGAGAAAATGAGTTTTTAATGACTTCTGCCAACCTTGGAACTGCACTGTTGTGGCCTGAGGATTCTACCTGTAGGAGTGGGTGATAGGTTTTCGGGGGTTGTTTTTGGAGAGGAGTATGTGAGCAGGGTTGGTGCGTCTGACCATCACGGATTTTGCAGAAGCTCGGGTTTAGGAGTAAAAGTTATTGAGAAGGGGCCAGGGAGTTTGTAGCGTTCGAAGTCTTTAGTGTGCGGAGAAGTTGATCAGATGTGTACAGCTTCAGGGGACAGAAAAGAATGTTTTTGAGCCTCCCTCTGGAGCTACTAGAAGCCTCCAATTTTCTTGTTCTGTCCGGAAGCGTCGTCCCCCCCCCCCCCCCCCCGATCTTGTCCTGCCTTCTCTCAGCCCCAGGAACGTGGAGAGTCTGTTGTGCTGGACCTGAGCAGTGGTGGCTCTGAGTGGCTGTGTCCGTGGTCTTGTTAGTTAGAAGTTGCTTCCGTGCCATTTGACACTGAGCAAATGACAGCTGAGGCTCTCCAGGTGGGAGGAAGCCCCGGCGCTCATTCGGAGTTGGTCAGGCCCTGGAATTCAGACACCTTGAGTGAGATGGCTTGTCTGATGACCCGCTGAGCTAGCTGTTGGTGATGGGGACAGGAGCACTAGACCAAGAATCCCACTTCTGCTCTGGTGCCTGTTTCCGTCAAGTGGGTTCCCAGCCCTGGGCCTTGGGCTCCTGACCCGGAGAGGGTTTCTAAGGCTCCGTGTTAATACCAGTGACTACCCTGTGTTTGTGTAAGGTTTTACTGGCTGGCAGATGACTTGTAGGTCTGTTCTCATGTAATACAAAGTGTTAGGGGGACTACACCAAATCTTGGAGGGGGAGAAAGCAGAGATATCTAAGCCTCCCCCCCCCCTTTGCTAGATAGGTGGACAGTTGCCTTTCTGGGGAACGCTATTTTAACATGAAAGGACAAAATACTTAGTGTGGACAACATCTCCTTTGGCTAATTGACACGCATTCTTTGGGTGGGGGGGATGGTTCTTGCGTAAGAATTCCTTGGGGGAGGGCCTGGATGGGAGTGGGGGTGAGACGGGAGGGGTGGGGGTGTGGGCTCTGGGCTCTGGGATTAAGAACCTGTAGGTTTCCTTTATTGCTAGTCATCCAGATTGCTCCGCATATGAATCATAGTCCTGACTTTGACAGTTTAACCTTTTTATGAAATGTAGCCATTTTGGTTGGGGGGATGGGGGTAAAAGGAGCACAGATGAAGCAGGCCTGGATTCTTATCTAGATTCCTACCTGTCCTATCTGGGCACCCATAAATGGGTTGTACTAATCTATCCAAACTTCAGTTGCCCCTTGAATAAAGTAGGGCTAGTCATCTACCTTATAGCCCCGCGGTAGTTACAAGCAGGGTCATGGGCGTGAGGCATCCAGCGCACAGTAGGTGCCTGATCAATGGGAACTAACACTCTTACTACAAAGGTCTGGCTTGCCAGAAGAGGTTGGTCCGTTGTGTTTTCAAGACCAAGTTTGCCGAAAAGGTTGGAAACGTGGGATTGGAGCCTTTGGGAGATGCTGTGCTGTTAGTCCCGCACATTGTACACTTGTCGTTGGTACACGAGTAATAATTAGTAACCCGATCTTATTTTATTTTTCGACTTGCAGCGTATTTTGGGACCTTTACTGTGCAGCTCCTGAAAGGCGAGACACTTGTGAACATTCGAGTGAAGCAAAAGCCTTTCATGATTACGTGAGTAACAAATTTTTAATCCTGGCAATAATTACAGGGTTGGATAGCTCTAACTTCTTTAGTACCAGAAGCAAATACACAGCCAATTGGCAGTGGTCTTTGTTTTCTCCTGGCTTTTCTTTTGTTCTGCCCACCTCCCTGCTGCCCTTGCCCTGTTTTAACTTGGGGAACGGTGTTTCATAATGTTGTAATTATGCAGAAGAGTGTAGATACCTATCTGGAGGATTAAATGGTTGTGTTCAGGGCTCAGCCATGAGAGGTTGATGTTCAGAGTGGACAGTTAGCTGGGAAAGGACTGAGCCTCCTCGGTGTTGGTTTAATTAAAAAATTGGCCGCCGCCACCGTCACCAAAGAAGCAAATCTGAAACTTGTGTTTCAGAGCAGAAGGGGTGGTTGAGTGAAGTTTGGTGAAATGGGCTGTTTCCTTACTTTCCAGGGAGCAGGCTTTTCAAATTATGTTTTGGGGTGTGTGTGGGGGGGAGGGCTCACGTTGTGCCCGCTAAGACCATGTATACTTTGAAGTCCTTGGCTGGTCCATAATTTTGTGTTCAAAATGTTCTTGTGAAGATAGTTAATTTCATCACCTCATAGCTCTTGCTACCCTATCATTCATCCTCTACCTGGATGAGTTTCTTAAGATTTATGAAATGCTTATAAGAGTGATGTCTGCTGCATATCCATCTCCCATGGCAGTCCCCCTCAAAAAAAAAAAAATAAATTTAGACTCCAAACAGGGGTTGGAGTCAGAATTTATGATCAGATGAAACATGATCTGGGGGATGTGGGAGATGGAAGGGGAAGTGTCTGCCGTTCTTCCCAGCCTCCTTCCAGTCTTCGCTTCCCACTGGCCTTGTAGATGGTGTGTGTGTGTGTGAGAGAGAGAGAGAGAGTGTGAGTGTGCGCACACATGCACATAAGAGGTGGGTTATTTGGTCTTGCACTTTGTCATGAGGTGGGTAGGAATGGTCTCTAAGCTCTCGAGCATGAAAGTTGGTTTCTTGAGTGTCGTCGGGGCCCACCCACTTTGCCAGGCCGCATGTGTCCCCTGCGTGCAGAGGACACACCTGGGACACCAGAAACTGCCCTAGGACCCCGGAACCCATCTGGTTGAATTTCACAAGTGGTCAAATCCCATTACCATGCATATCTTTATGGTGACAGTTTCTCCTGTAATACAAAGAGTTAGAGATTCCGCGGGAGGCTCACTGGTTTTGAGACTATTCAACGGGATGAAGTTTTGTTGTGACTCTAAAGGTAATGCCCTTGGAACAGACTGCTGTGGAAATGGACCAGTTCTTGTGCTCTCTCCAGGACTGAGAGATAGAAGCTGGCGAACGGTACTTATGGCCTGGTAAACTTTTAGTAGTTAAAGGTGAGGTGACTGGTTCTCTTGTGATGTGGTTCTTCTGGGAAAATCCGTGGTGATGATCATAGGGTTTCCTGAGCTGGAGGTTGGGGGAGGAGGCCAGAAGATACATGAGGCATATAAAAATAGTTGGTGAATTTGACCCCTTTCTACCTAGTAAAAATCTTTTTTTTTTTTTTTTTTTTAAATGTACGGAGAGCCCATTCCTGCATGGCCAGTTTTGCAGCGCAGATGGTTTTGTTTTGGAGTTGGAATAGGTGGACTTGCCTATTTCAAGTAAATCTCTTGATAGAGGATGTCTGTGTTATCTCTTGCAAGCTATCAGAGAAGTTAATAATTTTTAACCAAGTTTGGTGCTCTAGCAAATGATGTAAGGTTGTGGCAATTTGTGGTTTGGTCTGCCATCTTGAAACAATATGGGTGGCAGTGAAAGCTTGCATGGGTTTGCTTTCCATGACTTGTTAAGGAATGGTGGCAGAATTATGTGGCGAGTACTGAAATCGGCGTGGACATGTAGAAGATGCTACCAAGCGTTGATGTCACACTGACTGAGGCCCAGGAGTCACAGACTTGGGGGTCAAAACCCTTTATCCTAGATTGGAATCCACTTGGTGTCATTGGCCTGAGAGTAAGTAAGATCGTGCAGGGGAAGGGGTGGAGTGATGAATGGCGGCAGAGAGGGAACATCTGTATGGTGAAGGAGTTACAGGGTGGCATTGGGCTGCAGGGGTGACAGGAGCAACTGATAAATTAAGAGAAATATAAGAAAGTTAAGAAATGGAACCCTCTTTTTTCTTTGTCCTTCTCAGATCTTCATGTGTTCTCTCCATTCCCATGGCTACCCTCTAGTTGGCCCTCATTCCTTCTTGCTAGAATTATTGTTGTCTCTTTCCAGGCCCTCTTTCTCTTGTCTGGAATGCATGCTTCTCTTATCCATTCGAATCCTGTCCATCTTTTAACTTCCTTGTGGACTTTTATGATAGTTTTCAGCGCGCTCTGATCACTCCATCTCGTTATCTATGGAAACCATCTATACAGAGCCTTTGTTGGCGGCTTTCCATGTGCTGGGCCCCTGTGCTGAGTGCTTTGGTTCAGTCTCTCAAATCAAGCTGCCAGTGGCCAGGTGAGAGGAGTTGTTAACTCCATTTTGCAGATGAGGAAGCTCAGGCACAGAGAGGTTAATTCACTGCTAAGGGGTAGAACGAGGATCCAAACACAGGCCATCACCGACTCCGGAATCCCTGCTCCTAACTGCCGAGGCTCAGCCCTGCAGGTCTGTGGCAAGTGTCATTTGTTTGCACCTATTCCGACTAATTTCTCTCTTAGGCTTGTCTTTCCAACCACAGCTTATTAAGTTTTTCCATGCCAGAGACCATTCATTGATCTACAGAGCTATTCAGCTCTGTAGCTCCCACAATACCTTGCACACAGTAGGCATGCGTGCTAATTGAATGAAGGGGTTAAGGAACTATGGGTAAGAAAAAATAGGTAATTTGGGGTCGCTGGGGAGCCTGGCCTAGAACAGCCACTGGAATATTGGAAGATGGTTCCTTCGGTGATTTTACTTTTGCTGGGTGATCTCGAGCCAGGTGATTCTAGTGCTGGTTAACTAGTTACCTTACATCTTGTCAATAAGAGTGTGCAGTCACTGGCCTTCCCTTTGCCATTGAGGCGATTCAAAGATTCTCCTAGTTTGTGGAGGAGGTTGCACAGCCCAGGTACCCACCCAGGCCTCGATGGGGGTAGTGAGTATTAGGGGGCATGCCCAGCTGCTGTGGGGCTGGAAGGATCTTTGGAAAGGACCTCAACTGGGAAGATCCTGGTCTCCACTCTCCCAGGGAAAAGATTTTGTGTTCCTGACAAATTGTCTCCCCTTCCTGACAATGGGGTCAGGGGTCAGGTGATATAAAGGCTCCTCTCAGGTCAAGGCCAGGCTATAGGGCCTGGAATAAACCAGGTGACTCAGCGGGGAGGGGGTTTAAATTCTCTTTGAATTCGTGAGTTTTTGTTTGAGTCACAGTCTGTCCTCCCCGCCCCCGGCCCCCCGCAAACACCTGGCACGTTATTTGTAAGCATGAGCGCCCTGATGTTGACCACGTGTAATGTGGAGTGTTCGGGCATTCAGTACAGGAGTGCGGGCATTCAGTACAGGAGTGGATTTTTCTGAGAAATCAGTTTACCCTAAGGCAGAAGAGCCCCGAGGCCCTGGGAGGAGGCTCACACGGGGAACCTGCTGTGAGAGTTTTCCACTCCCACCAGAGCAGGGCTTCTTAGGGTATCGGTAAAAGCCCTTGGGGTGCCATTGGGTTCTCTTAGACCCTGTTGTCTGGGGCCTGGCCTTTTGTGGAGTGGACGCTCCCAGTGCCACCTGTGTCTCTCACTTCGGGCCACCTTCTCTGTTTGTCTCTCCCCCTGGGTCCGTGTGGCTGGTAGAAAGAAGTATCTTTGGTGCCTTCTGGGCTACCAGCATCCCTTTCCCTCCCTGTGGTAGCTAATTGTGTGTTTTCTGCTTGGTGGCAAGAAAAGAGTGGAGTAGGCAAGACCCAGAGGTGTGGCCTCTGAGCTGAAGGTGCTCGAGAGCCTCGGAGGCTCCTTGCACCGCTCATGTCACTGCAGTTCTTATAAAGCCTTTCGGTGAAGGCTTGTGGTTGGGCCTCGTGGTGGCTTTATTGGTCAGGTGTTATTCCTAAGTTTCAGCCCCATTTCACAGATGAGGAAACCGAGGCCTGGAGTTTAGATAGTTTGTCCAGGAGCATGTAGCGGGTGGCCGGGGGGAGGTGGTGGTGACGGCAGAGCTGGGACTAGATGTGCGTCTTTCAGATTCTTTCTCTCAACTTTTGACAGCCCTCATTTGTGAACAGAATTCCTGCTGAATGGAGGGGAGGTGTTTGCGTTTGACCCCAAGTGTGCCCGTATATAGTCACTGAAGAAATGCATTCAGCAGAGAGTTAGTCTGAAGCCCCAGCGAGGTGAACTGCAGAGTCACTGGCAGAGGTGGGACGTGAGTCGGGAAGGGAGTTTGTTATGGTACAGTGCCTCTTTTGGCAGGGAAAATGTGATAAAAGCTCTGGCCTTTCCTTCCAGAAAATACATGTGTCCCCACAAAGGAGACTTTGTACCTGATTTCGGGAGGTGTACAGGCTGCTGCACCTAACCCCAGCCCCTCCGTGATTCCCAGTGAAGAACTTGGGGCGTTATACTAGACATGGAATCCCATGACCTTGGTGAGCGTTGAGCCTCAGTTTCTCCGCTATGAAGACCTGAGGTCCCTTTCTGCTCTGCCACCGTGAGCCCCTGAGGAGGAGGGCCTGGTTCCCTTTCCCCTCTGCCGCTGCAGCAGGACTCTCCTGCCCCCCTCACCCCCAGCTGTGAGCCTATGTCTCCAGGCTGCGAGGTTGGGGGGGCTGGTTAGGAAAGTGCCCCAGAGGCCTAGGCGTGGACGCGAGCTGAGGTATTTGTGGCTCTGTGGCAGGGGTCCAGCGTCCTTGGTGGGTTTGAAATAGCAAAGTGATATTTGAGAGGGCTCTCCTTGGATGTGCTGAGCTGGGGTTCCTGCCAGGCGGGGAGTGTCCACGCCTGCCAGAACCCTTTGGGGGCGAGGGCTGGAGAGGGCCACCGAGTGGGGCAGAATGGG